ACAACTTTTAAAGGGTACCCATTCCAAGACATAAACTTCCTGATGTTACTAAGCTCTGTTTGAAGTTTATCAGGAGTACACAATCTGTGGGCTCTAGAAACTAAACTACGAATCCAGGAGATCTTATATTATTTCGTATTTGTTTTCAGTTATATATTGTTGTACAAAAGTACTCATACAAAATGTTTAGGTCTACGTCTACCTGAAATTCGTGTTCTTTCTGTTAGTCATTCACTTTCGACATTCTCCTTTTTGTTTATTTTTTTTTTAATGTGAATGCTATTTTAGATTTTGACTACGTAAAATATATTTGATATTTTAAGAATAGAACTTTACATAGCGTCTGTGTCCGCCACATATGACGCTCATGGCGCTCTGCAAATGTGTTATCGGATAGGATAAGCAACACTAAAAAGGAATGTTTAGGCCTATTTATTATTTTTAATAAAGTTTAGCTCAAATAAAAAACAAAACAAAAATAGAGGTAACATATTTATTTCTCCAGTCATCATGCCGTATCATCATGTCCTTATTTTCATGATGACGATGATACTGTTATTGATAGTAATGATGACGATGAAAACGTCCAAAGTTAGTAACTCGTTAAATATTCTATTTTTGTCGATGTTTTTTTCGCCTGCAGTTCTGAGAAAATTTTCCACGTTGTTACACACTGTGGGTTGTTTATGGGGAATCGTGTCCGTATGTGGCAGGGCTCAGAGAAAATGCGTTTGCGCCGCCTTCGGGGTCAGATGATACTCGAATTACCTTTTGATGGTTTTAATATCTATGTATAGTTTGTATGTGTCTCTTCATAGCAGGAATATTGGCAATTCTGTCATTTCAATTTGGTAAGCCTATAGTAGGCTATTATATGTTCTGCCATGTGGTCGATTTTTTTTGTGCACGTTGCACCTTCTGTCTACAGGCGCTTCGTAAGAAATTTAATTTTATTGGTCCGGCCAGCAGATGCGACGATCTCACCCACCTCCCCTCACCTTAAATAGGCCCGTGATGGAGTGGCGGGGAGGTCCGGATTGAAAACCCTTTTAAAAAAAAATAAACTATAAACAGTCGGTATTAAGCAAGAAAACATTACATTTATTTCATGGTTTCTTATTGCATATCACTGATAAATGAAAATGTAAACCGATCATTCATGACAGATTATTTTGGAATTAAATAATAATTATAATAATAATGAATTATTATTATTAGTTCAGCACCACAAACAGTATGTATAAGTTCTACTGTTTTCTCTACTCTCTCCGTTCCACGCGCCTCAGGATATTGGTTAAGTAACAATTATTGTTGTGTCTTCTTAATAATGTGACCATTATAATAATAATAATAATAATAATAATAATAATAATAATAACGAGATGCCTGTTCGTTAAATAAATAAAAGATGTATGCAATACAATATTAAAAACAATGTCTATGCTTATGTACACGAGTTGCTGGATATAATATGTGGGTCTATATGCAATGAAATAAAATATATGTTCGGATTGCATATGCAATGAAATAAAATATATGTTCGGATTGCACACAAGGTACGGTGTAAAACATATCTTTTACAATCATTAAAAAAATAATATTTTGTCATGCTCTGGATGAGATGTATCATTAAGAAAGTTGCCTAAAAATGTGCTATGTTGTTTTAGACCTTTACTGAATTATTTCTTAGCAGTTTAAATTATTCACTGAATTCTTGCTTTATGTGCAGTCATAGTCAATTAGCGTACCAATTATTTCACAAATTCATATTCATATTCACATGTATGATTACATTAGAAATTTAAGGTTTGTCTAAAACAATAAATTAAAATATGAAAATTATATGTAAGGAATTATATTTAGAGCTTTTAACATTATAACACTTTTATATAATAAGAAAATTAATTCTTAACGAAAAGAAAAACTTAAATGTATGCCTAATAAAATTTTAGAGGTATAACTATCTCCCGCCGGACACCATCCCGGTATTTATCAGTCGAGGTTTCGGGGGCCGGAAGATTATTATTTGCTTGGTGAATCAAATCGTGAACAATAGGCCTAAGCTATTGCTACTAAGTATAAAATTAAATAAATTCCAATTTATTCCATATTATCAATAACTAAATGTGCATGTTTGAAGTCAAAGTACAATTTGGCTTACAAACGATATTAAGTTGAAAATTATTGGTCCGGCCGTCAGAACTGACCAGTCGAACCGCTTCCGACGCCCTTGGTCAGTGGCGTCGAGAGGGGGGTCAGGGGGTCGCTGCCCCGGGGCCCGGGTCTACTGGGGGGCCCCGGACCAAGATGAAACATTTTTTGGGTAAGAACAAAATCTCCATAGGGCCCGAGCCCAAGCCAGGATGAAAACTTTTGTTGTCAGAACAAACTCTACATTATGGTTTTATGGGCGACTTTCTCAGTCTTTCTGTAGGCTATTTTTATTACTAGATGTATGTATATACGTGTTTTAGATATATATATATATATAATTATTATCGTTTACTCATCAGATTATTATGGTACAGATCTACATTGCAAAAAAATAATCACATGGAATCATGTAATCATCAGGAACGTACCTAACAACAAACAAGACCAACTATTATCGTAACGTACAGTTCAATGAATCAGATATTCCAAAAATAGAAGTCGTTTTATGAACTTGATTCAGAAGCAAACCATTGATTAGATATGTTTTTGTGTTGCTGTGTAAATTATAATTTGTAAAAAAACTCGTAAAAAATTATTACAGTAGGCCTGTGTCGACATGAATACGAATATCAACACAACTAGCTATAAATAACACGTCTTTTGTCCAAAAAATGACGTGTTATAAGTAACACATCATATTCGAACAAATAAGGTGTTATATTTTTGTAAATATTGTTTCATTATTCAAGAGATTTGGTAAGATAATACCAAACTGAATCGCTTACGTAATTAAACGATTACTGTATATACAACCCCCATTATTCACTGTATAATATGTCGTAAGCCAAATTATATTACTACACCCACTTTCTTGTGTGTGCCACTGTCAAAGTTACTTTTAACGTTGATAAAGATAGCCGAAGCTATCGAAATATCCGTTTGATTTTGTTATAGTTTAATAAATTTGTGTTCCGCAAGCCAACTTTCAAATTGTACACCATTTTTTCATTGTTTTTACATTATATCACTTGGAGCATACATGCAAACGGGCCCACTCCTCAATATAGGCCTATATACTGTATATATATATATATATACAGCAGCCATCGCCATTGAAATAATAAACATGATTTTTTTTAAATGTATTATATACGTTATATTACGGGTACACCTGTCTCTTATACACATCTAGATGTGTATAAGAGACAGATATAATATATATACAAAGAATACAATACGAAATGATGTTCAGGATGTTTTAGGTTGTAAGCAGCATCTTTTCTTGTCACAGCATAGTTCTTTCTTTTTATTTAGAGACTGTTGATATCTAAAATGTTGTTGTTATTTTCAACTTTATTTCACATGCTATAACAGCAACAACGTTTGATATGATTATAAATATTTTTGTTATTATAGCATAATTGTTTTTATAGGTCCACTGGCTTAATTTCCTTTGATGTGCACAATCACCTGCCAAAATCCCAACCGCTAGTTGGTGCTTGTTGTTGCTTAGCGACGCCCAGTAACAATTAAATGAACCATTGTGTACAGGGAACAACTTCGTTGGTGTTTAAACACGGATTGAAATGGTTGCGCTTATTGTGTCTTCTTGAAAACAATAACACAATACATATATTTGTTTATTTTAATAGTTCGATGGTTATATAAACATTTCAGAGGCATCAACACATAAGTAATGCTATGATTTACGTACACTTTGTTGTTAAGTAGTAGGTTGGTTCGAAAGAAGGTTACAATTTTCGACACCCTTCTATCGATCACGGTACAATAATATCTTCCCTTTTGTTTGTTCACATGGTAATGACGATGTGAATTGATGCAAAGCACTTCCAATCAGGTAATGAAAACTGCAAAGAGGCTTATAAATCGATATCTTCAAATGCAAAGTGTTAGTACAGTATAAATCATTGAAACTTTCTTATTTTGAGGCGAATTGGCCGGACTTCAGTTACGACTGTATATAGCATGATCGTGTTTTATTCGGTATTTTACTCGTTGTGAAGTACTGCAGTTTCGATTAACGAGTTCAACTCTGCTACGGAATTTGAATAAGGCTTGGTTCAAGACAGAAGGTCAGAGAAGGTTGAACACCAAGACATTCATACGACAACAACAGGCACGCTGTGTTGTTACTAACGGGATCTCGCTGCAATAATGGGTTGTAGCCTAAAAGCAACTTTCGACCGGATTTGTATATATAATAACTGATTTGTGATGGATGAACATTTCGATAATCAATTTTTTCAAAGGAAGGAGATAAATATTAAACTTGGAGGCGATCGTGAACCTAGCTCCCGTCAGTCATGTGTAAGTGTTGCTGCTACCGTCCCGCAATTGGCGAAGCTTAGTATTATCGGTAATTTAGATACGGGCGTAGGTGAAGTTGATGGTAAGGAGTGTGCAGCTATATTTACTAGCCCAGTGCACAATAGTAATAACTCATTCTATTCGGACTGCTCATCGAAAAACAAAAAACACCAGGACAAGCTCGATATAAATTTAGTCCGACTGAATCCCCACATAAAATCGGCTGATTCAACACATTCGAAACGATCGGTGAACGAAAACTTGCAATCATATATGGTCATACGACAGAGAAGTTTTCATGGATTTCCAAGAACGCGACGAGAAATGAAAACACTACCATTAACAGATCCCCGGGATAATGCCAATGCTAGTGACTGGCTCCATCGATCTAAAACTGACTTATATATTGAAAAACGCCGAGAGAAATCATGCCAGCAACATAAACAAAGAAAATCGCAAAAAAATGACTTCGATGGAATGACGTTCGGATATTTAGTACAGCATTTACCAGGCTCTAGAGTAAGTAGTCATGTTTCAGTACGCCCGCGTTCCTTTGGTGATGTGTGTACGCGCAGTTTCCCGCCACAGTTAAGCGCAGACAGACTTCCACCATTAACTCTCAATAGAATGAAACAAATGTTGCAGCACGATATTGACGTGATTGAGTCTCATCAGTGTAGACTAAGTACAGCGCATTCTGAATCCCCGTCACAGAAGCCATTGACAGGAAAATTACGGAAAAATACACTGAACTCGGCGTGTATGCCACTTAATGTATGGGAACCATCACTGGACTGTGTTTTCTACAGCAGACAAAAGGAACTAACGCCGAGAAATGCTGTGAATACAGTACGCCAGCAGCCATCGCCATTGAAATAATAAACATGATTTTTTTTAAATGTATTATATACGTTATATTACGGGTACACAGTACAAGTATAAAGAGTGTATAT